TTCACGCCAGTAAGGGGAGGATTTTAGTTCAGCCAAATCTCTACAAAACTGAGCTACGGGGTTTTTAAATTACAGTAGGCTGGGTGGGCAAGTCGACTTAACTGTAATTAAAACTTCTTATTTCAGGCGCCCATGTTTTAAGAGGACCTTGCTTTTGAGAACGCCGACTCTGCATAATTGCATCTCAACCAGCAGTTGAAATGTTATACACTCTCCACTTCATTTCACCTGAGATACGTCGATCCAGTGTCACTGTGTTCAACGAGACTTGTGCCTACCACACAAAAGACCCTTCAAAAACCTGTTATTCTTCATAGTTTTTCTTTCATTTACGGCCACTCAAATTTTGTTGTCGAGTCCCGATGTTTCACAGAACTCTAAAGGCCGCCGTCCTGCAGTGGATGCAGTCTCTTTCGCCGACGGAAGGATAGTAAACCTACGGGTCAGACCGTCGCCTAATATAGGACCAGATTTAATCAGACAGAAAACAAGAAAACACCGTTCTTAGCCCTTACCGCGCTAGCCTGTACCAACAAGTATAATGTCCTGAAGCGACGTCACTTCCCGATACGCAGGCTTCGGGTGGAGCTGTGCACGCTGTATATCAACGGACATCGAGTCACAGCTAGTGACTCATTTTCTAGTCTAGCTTAGGTCTCCGTTGGAAGTGACTCCGCAGCAGGTTTTCGAGGCACGTCATAGCGCCATATTCAATGGTTTAGTCGCCTGTGATGGTCATAACAGCACGCAGCGCCGTTGAGAAGACCAATATGTCCCCTTCCCCTCCCCGCTTCCTCCCACTCTGTTTTCAGTGTTTTTTATGACGTTTATTGCATAGCTTTTTTCAGACAGTTAGTGTTGTTTCCGAGAACTTCGCTGGCAGGTGCTGTTGGGGTCTTGTCTTCTGCGCTCCACAAAAAACATAGACTGGCTATCTGTTGCACGCCTAAAGCAGAATCAGGGGGAAAAACTCGTGCTTAGACAGTGGAAATTGAACATGAAAGCTATTGGAAATAGGAAAACAGGGCATGTATGACGATCTTCAGCCCTTCCCAAAGAGTTCGATGATGGAAAAAGGTGACTAAAAAGATTTTCCGCTATCAATCTGTCATACTCAGACCATGGGCCTGAGAGACTTGTCATTTCACTTACCACCCTACGGTTGGATCCAGGGACCAAGAGTTGGTGCATTTGCCTCGAGAGTTACTGTGCGCTATGGCTCGTGACTTCACGTTCCATAGCTGCGTTATTCGTAGGTAGAGACTCATGCAGTTAGTTATCTTAACTTGGCTCTCTTACTGCATCATATGGTAGGTAGCTGCAGATATTTTGACGTCATCAAATTCTGTCTTCTGTACATACTTTGTGAGTATGGAGCACATTGGTGCACCATTGCTTACGCACTGCGTGACAACTTATCAAAGTTTGTGCAACTGCTTCGCTGCTTCCCCCTGAGCTAAATTAGATTTTCTTTCAATGGACAAAAACTCGAAGAGTTGTTTCGATTTCTTCACTGTAATTGGCCAGATACGAGACAGTTCTATGCACAACTGTCCTCCAAAGACTTCGTTCTGCCTCGCAATATAGGAAGGAATTCAGAAGAAGAAGAAGATGCGATCGCTGGAAGAAGTATTTCATCCGCCTTACTTTTCGGGTTCTCACTCGAGTCCGCCCTCCACTTTTCTGTGGCTGTGTCTGATGATGGGTTCCAGTAAGAATCTGAACCTTCGAGCAATAAAACGTTTTTTCCAGCGATTGCATCTTCGTCTGACCAGCTTCCTGGAACTCCTCTGTTCACTTCTATCAGCAGTAGGAAGAAATACACGAATCGTTTCTTATTCTGCGTATTTGTAATAAATGACAAGCATTTTATTGGCTATGGAGCCGTTAACTAATCCAACCAGATCGCCTTCACCTTGGGTACTCGCATAGTCGAATTTTCCTGTTCACTTGGAATGCTGACAGGGTGCAAGTTATCTACTTGTGCGAACTCGTATTTCCATGGGCTGAATAACCAAAAATAGTTCTTGTTATTTATAACTCTGTTCGCTATTTCCTCTGTCCTTGGGCGCCTTGGTTTTTGTGAACAATGTCATGGTCCGCTGCGCTCTTGAACAACCATTTCGCCTGACTTGTGCAGCTGCTATCCATCCCGCAAGATGACACCTTGCGTGTGGTGTTGCAACACGAAGCGAGACCGAGGCTGTCGAAGTTTAACCCATTGAGCACCCAGTAAGCAGTCTATTTGGAAATTGAAATCCTCAAAAACTTCCAGATTTCAGACACTGTAGTCACTACTGCTCAAGGCAACATTCACTATATAACGGAGAAGGGGGCCTGCTTAATGGGCGTTGACTTTCATTTAGTGCGGAAATCTTCTGCCAATCACCAACGAGACCACAAAATGACGGAATACTCTTCCGGCACATTTTCCAAACCTTATTTAGTGTGGACATTTGTCCGTCTGTGGTTTACCTGCATTTGCGGCCTTTTGCCACTTTCACGTATCTGACTCCCTAGTAATTGGTGTGTGCATGTATGGCCAAGGTTCCACGTATTTTCCTCTATCCGAATTAGAATCACGGAAAGTCCCACCGGTGATTATTTTTTACCCGCTAATTGGCCTCCCTCCTGTCGCCTATGCCCTTGAGTCAACGTAACTTTCGCAGCACGGCCGCTCTCACCGTTTGCCGAGGTGACTGTGGTAATCTTACACTTATCAGCACACCTTGATCGCCTATGTGGA